CCTGTGCAAAACTGTATGCTGACAAGAAGACGAACACAAATAATGGAAGGGATACGAGAAGTTTTGACCGAGCACCTTGGCCAGATGAGCCATTGCAGGGGACCAGAGAGCAACGCAATAGGCTGTACAAGAAATTCAGGGGGTAGTAGAAGAGTTACAAAATCGTCCAGCACCCGTCAACATGGGAATAGCTGCGATCCCATTCAGGGGAACGCAGTCAGAAAATGCAATAAGTTGGCTGCAGAAATTCAATGCATATGCGGACTTTAATCAATTACCCGGGGATAGGAGAGTCGCGGGGTTTAGAATGTTGATGTCTGGACCAGCAAAAATTTGGATAAACGAATTGACACCAGAAGTAAGAGACGACTATGAAGCCTTAATGGCATCTTTTGTCGCACATTTCGAAAACGCCGACTTCGATTGGGTTTTAGAACAAGAACTGTCCAAGCAAAAACAAGGAATCAATGAATCCGTGGAAGATTACGCCACGAACATCAAAACACGGTGCGCCCGACTTCATAAAACGCCCGACGAACAATTGCGATACTTTTGTGTCGGATTACGAAACGACATCAACAGCCAAGTAATAGCACACCAGCCGCAGACCATCAAAAAGCCCGACGAAGAGCGAGACTGAGCGAAATAGTGTTGGACATGCAAAAACAAGATGCAGACAAGACAAGAGCGGAGATATCAGCAATCAAACTTGGCGTGAAAAGACTGACACAGAAGACCGAACAATTATTGCAACAGAGTAATCAGCCCCAATATGTATACAATCCGTCAACTTTCGAGAGACAGAAGATGGACGAAGACCAAGCCGTTAACAAGATGAAAACTGCATATCATGGTAGGAATTTTAATTCAATCCCAATTTGTAAAATCTGTAATAAAAAAGGCCATACTGCTGCGGGATGATACCGCCGTAGAGATTTTGATGATATTACTTGTTATAATTCTCAGAAAAAGGGCCATATTGCCAGACATTGCAGAGACAGTGCACGGAGGGGGTCTATTATTTGTTATAGTTGCGGGAATAGGGGCCATATTGCTAGGAATTGTGAAGCTAATATGCAGGGAGAGAATTTAAACCAGAGAGGTCTATTTTAGAAGAGGCGGAAAATAGACCTGACTGTCGCTTACGACTTATTTACCACTTCCGTGTCACTGAGAATGTTCTAGAACCGTACTGTGTCTGGGTGGAATATTCTACATTTTTTTTAGAAACTGGTTGAATAGGTAATAGAACACTGTAGGGGGCAATAGAATGTAATGGAACATTCTAGAAATTTGTAGTAAGTTCCAGACTCCTTATGTATGCTGATGTAATGGTCTATTTATAGACAGTGGGGGTATATATAGGGGAGTTGTTCAGCACTGAGTTCAGATCGGAGATCTCGTTGAATTGTATTGGAGTTTAAGTATCTAGTTATTGGAGTAGTGGAGTTTTACCGCGTTATTGTACTTGATGTTTGCAGAGTATAATAATACCAGTACCAGTTGAAACCTCATCTGTTGGCTCCGTGTTCGTATGTTATCATCGCCGCCAGGGAAGTCTTTCTGTTACTGTTGCCATTTTGGTATTTGAACCATCACACCTGTACTATACCAATTACGGTAATATTACATTGCATGTGACATCTGAGGGCTCGTCCGGGAACAGTGAAGACATATAGAAGACAACATGGCCAGTGATATAAAAGATATGTCGAAACAAGAGTTGATGGAATGGGTGGATGAACTGGGAATGACTGGAGAAGACAAAAGGAAATTTATTTTAGAGCAACTGAGTTCTCAATGCGCTGACAGACAAGCCGCGAGGGAAGAGAGAAAGGCAAAAATGGAAAGAGAAGCAGAGGTGAGGAAAATGGAGATTGAGGAAAGAAAGGAAAAGTTACGGCTGGAAGCGGAAGCAGGTGAAAGAGGGAAATTGCGAATGGAAGCAGAACAGCGGGAAAGGGAAAGGGAAGCAGAGGTAAGGAAAATGAAGATTCAGGAAAGAAAGGAAAAGTTACGGCTGGAAGCGGAAGCAGAACAGCGAGAAAAGGAAAGAGAATTTGAGTTGAGGAGATTAGAGCTGCAAGCAGCAATGCCGACAGGCTGATTTTGGCGGTCAACGAAATGTGGTCAGTGATGCACAGTCACCAAAGTTGCCTGCATTTTTTGATGGTAAGGACGAACTTGGTAGTTATTTATTGCGGTTTGAGAGGTTTGCAACGAATGCGAGTTGGCATAGAGATGGATGAGCCACAAAATTGAGTGCGCTGTTGACTGGTAGAGCACTGGAAGTATATTCCAGGATGTCCGACACTGATGCAGTTGGCTATGATCGTGTGAAGGTGGCGCTGTCGACAAGATACGATTTCACAGTGGATGGGTACAGGAAGCGATTCCGTGAAATTAAACCTGAAAGTTCTATAACCCGGACATGGTCCATGTTATTGTTTATTAATTTAAATAATATGAAATTACTGTAAATATGTTAAGAGTGTTCTAGTGTTTGGGTTACTGAAACGGCATTGTGCGTTTTACGGTAATGCTTTCATTTCCGTCTTGGTCGTTGCATTGATTTTATGATGAAGGATTTTGTAGTGTAGAGTTTGTATTTTCATGGGATTATAATTACCTATGGCCACACAACGTGTGGTGGCGATCGTATATGTTTTGTTTCGAATGGTTATTCATCAGTTAGTCAGCCGATAATTGTGTTTAGCATTACAATCGCACTGTGTGTGCTAAGTATAGGGGTTGTGTTTTGTTAATTATTTCCTCCAATGAGACGAGAAGTCTTTGGTTGAACTTAGTTGATTATGTATCTTTATTTTACTTTGATGATTTGAATTCTGTTCG